CTCCATGTTTCCAAGCTCACCATCTTGTTCTTTGTTCCTGAGGTGGTTCTGGCACAGCTTGGACTGTTTGGGTCTTTATCCTGCTGTAGGATGAACCCCTGACCAACTGCATACCAGAGGCTCCTGCATGGATTGCTGTGGTAGCTGTTTTGGTTCAGGGAGCCTCTCACTCTGTACGAGTCAGCGACCCTGGATCCAGCAAACGGCCCCAGACCATCACACTTCCTGCTCCATGTTTGACACACTGTGGATCCGTCCTTTCACCTACTCGACAGCAAAGATCCTGCGTGATGAACCGAAGATTTCAAATTTAGTTTTGGTCCATCTCACCTTCGTCCAGTCTTCAGTAGTCCTGCTGTTTCATGGCTCAGGCAAACCTCTTGTCTTATTCTGACGTCTGGCTTTCTTGCTGCAGCTCGTCCTGTCAAACCTGCAGCTCAAAGTCTTCACAGTTGAAACTGAGACTCACTACGAACTCTATTAAGCTGCTTGAAGCTGTTGTCCTGCGAGCCGCCATCACACAGCTGTTAACTCTCAGAAACTTGTCCTCTGAGTCGTGTCTTTGGGTCTGCAGACGTCTTCCTGTCACAGTTTGTTTCTGAGCCTTTGGATGGTGAAGGAAACTGGACTCACGGACACCTGCAGTTCCTCTGTAGGACAGACCTACTTTTATAAGTGTTATGATGGTCTGTCTCTCTTCCATTGTTAATTACCTTTCCCCCCCATTTGTGTAGCAACACTCTACTTTCTGCAGTACAATACTGTTCAACTGATGCTCATGAGCGTACGGCACCACAGTGTGTTCAGCACTGCTTTTATGCAGACAGAGGGGGGAGTAATCCAGAAAAGTTGGAAAAGCTGCAGGAATCAGTAGCAGCAGCTTTCAAGGCTTCATCAACCTGCACTGCTGCAGAACAGATTTAACCTGTTGACCCATGTTGTTCCTGAAAAAGGCTTTTTGTATAACTCTGAATTCTTTGTTTTACCTGGCAGTTCACCCTCACCTTTGCACCATTTCAAGCTGTTCATTGGACTGAATGACTTGCAGTAAATAACTGGAAAGATTAGGGTGTTCAAAAACTTGTGACTGGTAGTGTATGCATACGCTTTGAGCTTATTTTAGTAATGTGAATGCAACAGACAAAAAGGTGAGCTACATTTCTTCTGGTCTGTAGCTCCACAGCACCTCTCCAGCAGGTACATGTACACCTGTAAACTCAACAGTCTGTGTTATGCAGATAAACAAATATATTCACTGCATGCATATTCCAAACCCTTTAGGCTACTATGTGACACTTAAACAGACGATGTGCTGCACAGGTGTGAGTTTGGCACCATCAGCTGTGTGTTTCGTGTTTGCAGATCAGTGATGCTGTGCACAGCCTGGTGCAGGCGCAGTGCCAGACGCAGTATGAAGCAGTGCTGCAGAAGTGTGAGGCTAACCGCT